TTTACTTCTTTGAAACCAGCTGGGGAGAGAGCCCTATAGCAAGCTGGCCAGCAGGATGAAGACTTAAATAACAACATAATTACGGAAGTGCCATCCCATCGCCTGTTGGTTAGAAGCAAGTCACAGGTGCTAGCCACACTCAAAGGGAAGGGTTATTGGGACCACCTTAGAATTTGTCTGCCTCAGTTACAGTTCTGCTCATTTAAATTTGTAATTGTGAAATGTAAATTCAATGCATTTAATTCCCAGTTTTAAAAGCCCTATCTTTACCCCCAAATCCCTTCAGCTGTAGGTTAATTTTCCTCCTCACCTTTATTTTTTTCACTCCCATTCACCCCACTGAAATCGCTCTCTCTAAGGTTATTGCATTGACCTTGTCACCAAAATCAATGGGCTTTTTAAAATTCTTGTTTTAGTAATAGCTCCTTCCATTTCCTAAATGTCGCCCACCCTTAGACTTTCCTCTCTGTACTATGGACTCTCTATGTGATCTCATCCACCACTTCAGGTTCATTTAATCTTGGGTACCTGGTGTATGAGTAGGCTCTGGAGACACCAGACACCAGCCAAGAACTCTGTTCTCACGGAGCTCACATTAGCCATCTCCCACATCTTCTACCCAGACTTCTTTTGCTGAGACAGCCTCAGCACCTACTTTTCCGTCTTGCCAGAAAGGAATTTACGTCTTCCCTTCCAACTCAGACCGTTTCCCCCTCCTGTTTTCCTGATGTCAGCTCACATCCCTGTAGACCTTGGGCCACCCAGGCCTGAACCGCAGCATCATTCTTGGTTTCCCCTCTCTCTAAGCCACACAGAATCACCCCGCACTGATTCTCCTTGCTCTGATTTCTCAACTGGGCCTACTCTCCTCATCCTCCTCCTTTGAGCCACATCACCCTTCGCCTGCGTCAGGCATCAGCCTCCTAAGCTCCTAACCTTGTCCTCAGCTCTGAGCTTGCCCCATGCATCTCCTGACTAGATAACAGCCAGAGGGATTTTTCTCAAGTACAAAGTTCTGCCTAAAGGGATTCTGGCTCTCCTTTGCCCTTGTGCTAAAGTTCGAATGCTCTAGGAAGACTTTAGATCTGCAAAGCCCTGGAGAGGTAGCTGCTCACCTCTCCAGCCCCAACCCTCCTCACCCTCCTCTTACACTTGACCTAGAGCCATCCTGAGCCTCTGTGAGCTCCATCTGCCAGGGAAGGCTGCTCTCTGCCTGCTTCCCACCCTCCTATTTGTCCTGCTTAACTCCCACCCACTTCGATCTTCATTTAGATACCACTTCCTCCAGGAAGCCTTATCTGGCCTCATCCCCACCAACCCCTTTAGATTAGGGGACCTCCTCCAGAATCTCACCACACCCACACCTCAGTATCATGTTACCCGTCCACAGCACAGTTACCTGTCTCCCTGTTTATCTTACTCAATGGACTTTGTGTTCGTTCCCTATTGCTGCTGTGAGAAATCACCATGAACTTAGTGGCTTAATGTAACACAGACTTATCATTAGACGGTTCTAAGGTTGGAGGTCCTACAATCCAGGTGTCGGCAGGGCTGAGTTCCTTCCGGAGGCTCCAGGGAGATCCCATTTCTTTGCCTTTTCCAGCTTCTGGAGGCCATCTGCCTTCCTTGGCTGGCGCCTTGCCCTCCACCTGCCAAGCTTTTCCTCCAACTCTGACCCTCTTGCCTCCCCCTTGGGATCACACTGGGCCCACTGGAGGATCTCTCCCTATCAACCACTTTGATTTAAGCGCATCTGCATAAGGTAACACCTTTGTGCTGCATAAGGTAACACACAGATTCTAGGGATGTGGACGTGGTTGAAGTGCCATTGTTTTGACTACCACAAATTCTGGGCTCCTCACGTCCTCAACAGGTGCCCCAGATGGAGCCTCTTGTCACTCCTGGATCCCCAGCATGTACCATAGTACCTGGCCCTGTGAGCGAATGCTCATTAGCTGTTTTATCAATGAATGGCTCAGTTAATGAACCAGGGTGTCAGGAAATGGGATTGTCTTCTTACTCAGCAAAAAAAAAAAAAACCACTCACCCCATGTTTGGAGCTAAAGTTGTGGGTGATGAATGGGTGCAAGGCAACCGATGACAGTGATTGTTGGCCTCACGTGTCTCAAGATGACAGTGGGCAAGTGAGTGCCTTCAGAAGAAATGAACCTCTCTCAAAGCTACCAGCTGCTCAACCTAGCCCCTCACCCCTTAAGGGAGGCCTACACAGTCCAGCAGGCCTGAGAGGCATGAGTGGCCTTTTGCCTGATTGTGGGTGTGGCCTTGAAATGTACATCCCACTGAACATGCAAGACAGCTGAGCACCAGCAACCCTGAAAGCACCAGCAACTAAAATAATTAGGCACAGCCACTGAAGCATGGGAGGCACTGCTTTTAAGCATTTTACTTATTCTAACTCATTTAACCCTCCAGCAACTTTATGGGTGCTATTATCCCCACATTACAGAGGGGAAAACTGAGGCCTGCTGAGGTCAAATAACTTGCCCAAGGTCACATAACCAGTAAGCGATAGAATCAAGATTTGAACTCAGGCATCCCAGAGGCAGAGTCAGCTCCGAAGCGTTATGCAGCACTCAGCAGGTCAAAGTCAGTAAGTCCCCCATTAGGGACGATCCGTACAGCTCTGGGCTCTGCCTCGAGCTTCCCTGTCCACACTCAGCATAGCAATGTGGAGAGAGAAGCCAGATGGAAAAGGAAGAGCCCAAGGCAGGATCTGAGGGTCACTGGATCTGGGGTCACTGGATCTGGGGGTTGCTGGATTTGAGGGTGGTGAAATCTGGGGGTCACTGGATCTGGGAGTCTCTGGGGTCACTGGATCTGGGGAGTCACTGGGGTCACTTGATCTGGGAGTTGCTCGATCTGGGGGCGGCTGAATCTGGGGATGGCTGGGGTCACTGGATCTGGAGATCGCAGGATCAGGGGCATTGAGGTTGCCAGATCTAGGGGTCACTGAATCTGGGGGTCACTGGAGTCGCTGGATCTGAGGGTCATTGGGGTTTCTGGATCTGGGGATCACTGAATCTAGGGGTCACTGGAGCCCACTCCATACCTCCTCCACCAGAAGAGCCTTGTGAAAGACCTGCACAATTCACAGAGAGCAGCACCGTGCTCATGGGAAGATCAGGCACAGGATGCTGAAACTGCTTCTGCCCAGTGCAATTTGTGGGCCATGCCTGGATCCTGATTTGAACAAATGAAAAGTAACAAGACATTTGTGAGACACTCAGAAGTTGGAGCTCTGACTAGTTATCTGATACCCAGTAAGTACCAAAAACTGAGTAAGAACAGGTTTTTCTGACTCCTAGGGTTAGACTTCTTCCCCCGAAGCAGGAGTCCCCAAGCCCCAGGCCCTGGGCCTATTGCGGTCTATGGCCTGTTAGGAACTGGGCCTCACAGCAGAAGGTGAGGGGCAGCGTGCCACCATTACCTACCGCCTGAGCTCCGCCTCCTGGCAGATCAGCCACCGCAATACATGCTCAGAGCAGAGCAAGCCCTATTGTGAACCACACATGTGAGGGATCTAAGTGGTGCATCCTTGTGAGAATAGAATGCCTGATGATCCCAAAACCCCCACCCCGGCCCATGGAAAAATTATCTTCCACAAAACTGGTCCCTGATGCCAAAAATGTTGGGGACAACTGCTCTACAAAAGTAGTTCCTTTTTTTTTTTCTTTTTTCTTTTGAGACAGGATCACACTGTGTTGCCCAGATGGAGGTGCAGTGGTGTGATCATAGCTCTCTGGACTCGGGTGATGCTCCCACCTCAGCCTCCTGAGTAGCTGGGACTACAGACGTGCACCAAGACAGCTGGCTCATTTTTTAATTTTTGTAGAGATGACATCTTGCTATGTTGCCCAGGCTGGTCTTGCGCTCTGGGCTCAAGTGATGCTCTCACTTTGGTCTCCTGAAGAGCTGGGATTGCAGGCATGAGCCACTGACCAGCCCTTTAAAAGAGGAGTTTCCAAACATACAGCAGAGCTCGGTGGAGCAGCAGGGTTATACCCTGAGTGTAAATATACCTCAGCGAGCACCAGGACTCAGTTTTAATTTTTTTGTTGTGATCATGTGGTCACACTTGTTTTAAAGAGTCCGTATCTTTTAGCGATAAATACAAAACTGCTTATAAATAAAATGGGAAGATGTCTGAGTTTTGCTTACTTTTGGGGGAGAGTAAGATTGGCCGGGAGCTGCTGATGGTGGTTCTAGCTTGAGGATAGATACGGGGGGGCGGTCATGGAGCCACTCTCTCTACTTTTGTGAGTGCTTGAAATTTCCCTAAATTAAAAGGATTGTTTCAAAATGTTCAACTTCTTACTCTACTCCCAGAATCAAAGGAGATCACAGCCACCTTCACTCCATCAGTCCTGCTCTGAAAACAGGCTAAATGATCAACATTTCTCTTGCCAAAGGAAATTTGCAACTGTCAAGGAGAGACATAAAGAAGGCACTAAGAAGTTTGGGAGGCTGAAGAGGGTGGATCACAAAGTCACGAGTTCAAGACCAACCTGGTCAATATGGTGAAACCCCGTCTCTACTCAAAAAAAAAAAGAAAAAGAAAAAGAAAAGAAATGCAAACATTAGCCAGTCATGGTGGCACACGCCTGTAGTCCCAGCTACTAGGGAGGCTGAGGCCGGAGAATCATTTAAACCTGGGAAGCAGAGGTTGCAATAAGCCGAGATTAGACCTCTGGACTCCAGCCTGGGCAACAGGGCAAGATTCCAAAAAACAGAAGACCACGAAGATTTTCACCTGCCGGGGTTGGTGGGGGGCGGGGTGAGAAAGATTTTGACAGCTTCCATGCAACTAGGGCACGAAGCAGGGGGTGAGTCCAGGAGGGAGAAGGTCCAAAGTCTAATGCTATAAAGACGTGCTGATTTCCCAGCACTATCTCTGGGGAGCTCAGGCAGCGCCAGAGGGCAAAGCATGTCTGGAAGCTCAGAGCTACAGTCCCAGGTTCTGGGGTGAGTGGTCCCCCCACAGCGGGAATAGAGGGGAGTGATATTTTGTTTCCATGTGGAGTTGGGGGGTTGCTCAGGAGTATGGACCTGGTCCCACCTTGAAGTGAGGGGCCGGCCTTTTATGCCTCTAGCCGGTCAGTTGTTGGCTGTAGGGTTGGGGCGATGTAGCTTAAACTCCGGGCAGGGAGCATATGTGAGTCTTTAGCAAGCAACAAATATAGCTGCTGGAGAATGGGTGCCCCACCCAGTAAAGGGGATCTGGAAAGTAGGGGGCACCATCGGCCTCTCCCCGGGGACCCCCATCCTGCTGCCAGTCACTGACCATGAGAGCTGGGGGAGCCCCAGCCACTGCCCTTCCGGTCTGGAAATGCATACACACGGAGAGACTAGTTTGAGAAAATAGAGGCCCAGTGAGGAGAAGGAATTTGTCAAGGGCCACAAGAGGCCAGGACTAGATCCAGATGCTTGACTCCCTCCTTGGACAGACGCCCCTGTTTCCTGCAGGCCTTCCTGCTCCTTGCGGGTGAGCTGTCTTTACACCAGACACTCTGTCTGGAAGCGCCTGGAGGGGGCTGCTTCAGGGCAGTCACAGGTTGTTTTCTAACTGGCATTCACTGAAACGCTGATCTTCTGGGGAACCCCCGCCAGCCTGCCTGTCACATGATGTGACACTGTCACTCAGCACCTCTCAATTCTTGCCTTTCTGTCCTTGATATGCACCCACACATGTGCATTCACACACGCAGCTGAGAAGCTCTCTCCGTCCTCCAGGGCTCCACTGCACCATCTGATGAAGGCCACATTGTTTGTGCCACGTTTTCTCTGCCTGCTCGGACACAAACCTCCCAAGGACACATCTTACTTCCTCCTGCCTCAGTCCCCGCAGCGTCCAATGCAGAACTCCACGAACAAATCCACGAATGACAGTGTCGGATCTCAGATCACTAGCTCAATACACTCAGTGCCTTTCTGCCTTCACGACCCCCTGCCCCCACCCCAGGGACCCAGAGCCCTCATGGCCCTCTCCCCCTGTAAGCAGGATGGAGATGGAGGGAACTCATCGCCACTCCAGATGATAGGGGCGGGATGTATCATGTATTCACCGAGAACCAGAAGAGGTCAAGGAGGAGCCTCGCTGGTGGGATTCTAGACACGCAACAGGCCGGTGATGACTGTGGCTGCCATTATTGCTATATGCCAGGCCCTGTCTGTTGCAACATAGTTTCAGCTACTCCTCATCACCTACCCCCCAGGGACAGGCAGTGGCTCACCATGAGAAGGCGAAGGGAGACTCAGATGCTGAGATGTAAACAGCCTGTCCAAGGTCACAGCTCCGGGAAGCGGAGCCAGGACTTTGCACGGGGCACCCATTCTGGCTGACAGCTTCCAGCATTCACGGCCTGGCCCACTCTGCCGCTCTGCTGGGGGCTTCTGGGGGGTCCTTCCCAGCTCTGTCCCTGTCTTCCCTCCCCTCCCAGAACTGAAGGAACAATGAGAATATGTATGGGACCCAGGCATCACGTGGCCCTGTGCAGAGTGCCAAGGCCCTGGTGACAGTGGGTTTCCCGTGGGATACCAAGCTGGCTAGATCTGTGGTCCTGAGCTGGCTGAGGGGGTTCAGGGGGGCAAGGCTAAAAAAGTTTCTCCCATGCCCCAAACAGCCTGCTGCCTGCCCCCCTCTGTCAGCACGCTGTCACCTCCTAGCAGCCCTGCACAGGTCCTGGAGGTGGACCAGGACAGCAGGGAATAAGCTTCTAAGGAATCAGAGTTCATGCTCTTTGTCCCGGAAAGGCAGACGAGACTTCATAACAAACTTTTCCCCATGAAGTCTAAGTCTGAGGTCTGCCCTCTGCAACTCCTTCCTCTCCTGGTTGTAGAAAATTCCTCGCAGCAGCTCTCTATCCCGTGAGAGAAGTTTTATATTTAAAGTTGAAGGGGACCCCAGAGAGCATCATCCAATTCCCGTTCCTACCATGACATGAGCAAACCAAAAGCTCATGTCACAGAGAAAGGGCCAAAATCCAGAGCCCAGAACCAGAAACAAACCTTCCAGGTCGCTTTGCCCAAAAGTAGACCCCGTAGAATACCAATTGCAGAGAAAAAAGATTCTGTGGCCAATGAAGTTTGGGAAATGCCCTTAATACGAAACCAGAGTGCACCACTTATAGAAAATCTCAGAGCCTTTAACATGAGAAAAAGGGAGAAGAGGACATCGGTGCTTTCCCCGGCTTCTTTGACCATGGAACCCGTTCACTGCGGACCCATCAGGACCAATGTTTCATGGAACGTACTTTGAGAAAGCTTTCTCTGGATTCTGGAATCCAACTCCCTGTTGGGTATTTGAGCCATTCCTCCTGCCACAGCTCTCATAAGTGAATGTGTAGGTGGAGACACAGCTCCAGAGCCCAGGCACTCGCTGTCCCTGTGGACAACCAGCTCCATCCGAGACAGCTGTGCTAAGAAGTCCCTCTTCAGTTCTTTGCAGTGGAATTCAGGCCTGGGTCCAGGTATTGTCCTGGCAGGTGCGCAGAGCCTCATTGAAGCCAGTGGCTCATCTGGTTCAGGCCTGCAAATACATCCCTCAGTCCAGCTAGCTGTGTCAGAAGGACTCCTGAAGGCTTGGGGACTGAGGGAGGGAGAATTCCCAAGCATAGCCGGGCAGCGTCACAGAAGAGAGTCATGCATTACAGTGGCTATGAGCTCAGGAAAGAGGGAGACCCTCTGCCCACTGTCCCCACTTAATCAGGGGTTGTCGCTGCAGGCCAATGGAGATATCAATTAGGAGGTCCACCCAGCAGCCCAGGCCCAGAGCACTGGCAATGGAGTAGGATCAGCATGGTTCCAGTTCCAGGCACTTCCTCACTGTGTGACCTTGGCCAAGGCAGGCAACCTCTCTGAACCTCGGTTTCCTCTTCTAGGCAATGGTGCTGATTTCCCGAGGATTAAGGGAGGTTGCCAGGCAAAACTGCCTCCTGGCACAGTGTCTGACATACAGTCCTCACCCAACCATGAGACCCCATCTAGCTGTTTGGCTCTTGATAATGTCCCTTCCTCTCCATGCCGAGTCCAGGATGTAGTCACCTGGACTATCTGACCCTCCAAACATCCCAAGCGTCTTTCCCTTATGTGGAAAGAAATCCCTGCACCCCTGTGGAAAATGTGGATGCTCAGAGAGAACTGTCTGGGTCCACAAGTCAGACTTAAAAGTGAGAGGAATGCCCCTCCCTTTTCATCCTTCCAGGACAGCCTGAGCAGCCTGCACTCTCTCAAGGATCCTCATTAGCCCCAGCCCCATGGAGAAACCATCTCTGACCTCAATCCCCACAAGCCAGCCCCCTTTCTTCCCCGCCCAGCTCTCCACTTTCTGGACAGAAAGGCTGTGCTGGATTTCCTCACCAAGTCCCCAGGCAGCCCCCCAAGCCCTGGTGCATCCACGGCATCAGTACACACTATGATTCCGACCCTGTCTGCAGGTTGTCTGTTCAGCTCCCTTCTAAATTTTTTCCCAATTCCTTTTTGTGCCTGTGAGAACATCCAGAACATTCATTTCCATTTGTTGAGCCAACAGTGCATGAAGGATTTAAGCCCCAGGCTCTGGAGCCAGCCTGCCGTCCTTCAAGTCCAAGTCACCTATTGGCTGTGTGACCTTGGGCAGGTGGCTTAACCTTTCCGAGCCTCATCTGCAAAATGAGAGTGAGGACAGTATTTACCTCACAGAGTTGGAATGAGGACAAAACGGGTAATGCATGTAGAATATTTATCTCAGTGCCTGGAGCAGAGAAAGTATTTGTAAATGTCAGCGTTGTTAAATGCGGACTCCTGACTCAGTGTTGGCTCACAAGAAGTCCTTGTTGGAAGATGTTTTCTTCCCTTCTCTCCAGGAAGCATAGGCACCACCACAGGAGGTAGGACAATTATTTCCACCTGGCTTCAGTCATTCATCTTGGACCAGTGGATGGAGACTGTTTATAAGGTCCCTCCATCGACCCAGGCCTCCTGTACCTCCCCACTCTGCCAAACTGCACTCTGGCCCATTGGGTGAGCTCTTTCTTGCACTGGCTGTGAACTGTGTCTGGTCCTCATTTTTCTGCCCCAAAAGGAGCTGTGTCTTTGTAATCCCAGAAAGTCTGTGACAGCAATTATTCCCCATTCCCAGGGGCCAGATTATTCCAGGTCAAATCAAGGCCAGGGGCTGCTGGACAGGACAACCATGGTTCTGGAAAGATCCAGTCCTGTGAACAGAGGTGATCGGCAGAGGCTCACCCAGGCACAAGCCTCAGAAATGAGACAGGTTCTGATGGCCTTTCTCCCCATCCAGCAGCCAGGGCCCCCAACCAGCATCAATGAAGGCAGAAGCCATGGTTACCCCCAGTTCTGGTGCTGGGGGGCTCCCATCCTGGCAAGTCCTCAGCTCAGCCCAGCCCAGCCCTGGCAGACAAATCTATCCCAGAACATGACCCAGCCCAGGATCCTGGCTCCATGCCAGCATAAGGAGTCCCAGCAGAGGAGCGGCCTTCTCAAGGATCTGGGGGTGAGCATCTACTTCCCAGGGTCCCGGCAATGGGAAGAAGAGGAAAGTGAGATATCGGGAGGATGCTGGGGGCCCTGAGTGGAGAAAGCGAAATGAGAAAGGCTCCAGCTTTCTTGCTTAACATTCATCTGAACTGGAAAAGGCCTTGAGCATTGGAGAGAATCTGTCCACATCTACTGCCTTGTGGGGTTCAGACAGGGCCCTGTCCTGGGAGAATGGCAGGAAAGGGCTGCCAGCTCCAGCATAGACAGCTCCTAGTCCTAGGGACAGCCTCAGCTCTCCCTGCAGGAAATCCTGGGGATCTGTCCTTCCTAGAGATCCTGCTGTCCATCCGGGACCCCTAAGAGGACAGAGGGACTCAGCACAGCCAGTAGGTCCAGGGCACCTGTGGCCTCCTCTGGAGCCAGTCACTGATGCCCTCACCCCAGCCACTCTCTGTTCCCCACCCAGGCCTTCCACATCACCATCGTTCTGCTGCACCTGGTCTTCGGGAGCTACCTGGCCTCTACAGTCAAGAGCCTTCACCTGGTGGTGCTGAAGTCTTGGTATCCATTCTGGGGGGCTGCCTCTGTGGGTAGAAGGCAAAACACAGACAGGATATGGGAGTCTGCAAGGCAGGCCTGGGAGGCCCGGGCGTTTGGGACAAGATACAGGCTGGGATAGAGAGAGCTGACAGGGTGTGGCGGAAGCCAGGCCCTTTCTCCAGTGTTCCCGTCTCTCCTTCTCTTCCCGTAGTCACCCTGGAAATAGCTCCTTCCAGGGAGCCCTTGTCAATTCTGAGTCCCAGGAGAGCACTCACAGACTATCTACTCTCCCATATTGCATGTGTGCATTTGGCAAAGATGGGGGTGAGCACAACCCAGGTACAGCTTCCTTCTTCCCTGGCCTTCGGAGCAGCCAGGCTGCCTCTGGATCCAGCAGCAGGTGCCCTGTTAGGGTTGGGCTATGAAAACACCCAGGGTGTAAGGCATGGTTCCTGTCCTCCCAAGGCCATCAGCCACGATGGGAGATGACACTGGGCCAGTATATACACCATTCCCGGAAGCTCTACGTTCCTTCTGGCCTCCAGGGAGCCCACCCTATTCCTGACTCCCTAGCGAAGTCCTGCCTATGCACTAAATCCAAGCTCCACGGCACTGTCCTGGGCAAGTATCCCAATCCCCTTTTCACATCAGTCCTCTGTGCCCACCCCTGCGGGGTCGGGCTTTCATTGCACAGTGACAGAACTTTCCAGCATGCAGTGTTTATGCACCCTGTGCTTCCAGGCAGTGGCCCATAGTAAGTGCTCAGTGAACATTGGAAAGAACGATTGCAGAGGTATTTCCAGAGACCTCGGGGAAAGAGCTCATGCCCTCCCAACTGCAGGGCTCAGGAAAAGAGAAAGGGTCGGGGTAGAGGGAATAGTGCCACTGATACCAGAGGGAGTTCTAAGTGCAGGGCTCAGCTTGGTCCAAGGGTAGAGATGGGAGGAAGTATGGAGGTTTGTGCACGTGGGAAGATGTGAGGTGGGGCGGCGCCTGGGGTGGGCCACATGGCAGGCAAGTGGAGCCCACTTTGCCGGAGGAATAGCATTCTCTGCCCCACTGGCCGCCAAGGGTTGGTTTTCTTGGAGAATAGGGGTGGGGTGGGAATTTGTGGGTTTTGAGGAACCTCAACGTCTCTCCTTTGACTTTCAAATCTGGCCTGCAGTTTCTCATTTCAGGGATCTTGGCTATAACAATGGAGATCTTTTCTAAAGCTTACCTGGTGAGTGGGAGCACTGAGGTCATTGTCCTCCATCAGAGCATGGGGTAACTCTGTTAAAAGCATCTATATGGAGAGGGGATCCTAAGGACACTTCTCCAGGATGTGCTAGGAGCAGGCTCATGCCTCAGGACAGCAGAGGACGTCCAAGCAGAAGGGTCCAGATGCAGACAGTCTGGCAGATTTGGCTGTGGGAGGAAAGGAAGCCCCATCTGAAGCATCTCTCTTTCCAGTGCAGTGAGGCAGAGAAAAAAATGGCTCCCAGGACACTTGACCCATTCATCTAGAACACAACTTGGCTTCCTCTCAAATCTACTGAGTTTTCATCTGGATTACTACATAGCCTGAAAGCCCCAGCCTCCAGCTGGGTTTGCATCTACTTCTCCACTCTAAGCACCAGGCAAATGGAACGGTGGTCCTCCCTGTTCTGCCCATGCTGGCCGCTGCCCAAACACCTTGCCCTCTCCCCTGCACACGAGCCGCTCATCTTCAACTCACTCCTGACCACTCAAGACAACCTGTATGTCTTTTCCTCCCAGAGGTCTTTCCTGACCTCCATGGCTGCTTCCTGTGCTCCCACAACTCTGTGGACTTACCTGTCTGTAGCATACGCTGAGTTCTGTGTAGGTAGAACGTGTCTGAGCATCTTGGTAGCCCAAGGAGGCCCAAGTAAGCACAGAGTAGACACCTAACACAAGGCTGGATGGGTGGAGGCGGATGGATGATGGAAGGAGCATCCTTGCAAATCACACCTCACACCCAGGCCTTCCCACCTCCCCTCCCTCTGCCCCCAAAGCCCAAGCCAGGTCCTTCCATGTCTGTGTCCCTCAGCCTGGCTAGGCTGTGATTGCTCCCTGCATTCTCGGAGGGCAGAGAGAATAGATGGATGGCTGTGCCTTCCTTCTATTCCCATTCCCCAGACCTCACCCTCCTGGGCTGAGCCCCCTGTTAGAACCACAGGCCTCCTGCTTTGTGTACCTGAACATAGGGACACTCTCACTGCGAAGAAACCCACTCCAGTGTAAATGGCTGCAGATTCCACATGTGCACAGTTTCCTCACTACGTGGGTTTGCACTTGGCAAGGGGCTCTTGCAATGATGCTTAGCCAGAGAAGACAATGAACACAGGCATGTCGGGGACCATGGTGGGTGGGCGGAGAAAATGGGGCTGGCCCTGGAATATGGGGACATAGGGCACTTTCAGAGCTCCTCCTCCCTTTCTGGCGGGGAAGGGGCTGGATGAGGGGTGATTTGGGTGTCAGGTCCCTGACACTTGGCATACCTGATGTGGGCTGGTCAGGGCTGGCTTTGAGGGGGAGATGGCAGTGGGGCATCTTTATTGCAGAGCTCTTGGATCTGAAGGCAGCTCTTGGGTTCTCCTGATTTGTACCATAGAAGGTGAGGGCCAGCTGGGCCCTCCTCAGCAGTCAGTGGCTCAGCTCCTGTGTGAGGGCAGGGACCTCAGGTCCAGTGACAGGTAGTCTCTCCTGAGGCTACAGAGGAAGCTCCTGCAAGCATGGGGGAAGGACCTAGCCCCAGATCTCCACCCTTTGGATAGCCGTTACCTCTATTTTTCACCTGTAGAAGGGGCGCTGCCTGATGACAAACCTCATCGGCCTCCTTTGCGTGCTGTCCGGCCTCTTTGTCATCACCAAGGATCTCTTTCTGGAAAGCCCATTTGAGTCCCCCATCTGGAGAACGTACCCCAACTCCAGGGTGAGTGCCGGAGGGACCTCTGACTTCAGTGAAGCTGCTGCCTCAGGCTTAGCCAACAGGAGGTTTCCAGCTAACGGAAAACCTCTCCTGGAGCCCAGGTGTGGCCGCTCAGCCCTTGGCCAACCTGTTCCTGTCCCTCCCAAGGTGTGGTGGAAAGGGGGGTGCCAGGCTGCCCACTGGTCAGCATCATGGAGTCCAAGTCCACTTTTACAGATGGGAAAATGGGGCCAGAGACGGGGAGGAGCCTGGCTGAGGTCAAGCCGCAACGTAGCTGCAATTCCAGGACCACAGCCTAGAACTGCAGATTTCCCAGCCAGGGCTCGAAGCATGAATCCCTGGTGGCCCCAGTGATCCGGGAGCCTCGCAAAGCTGGCCAAGTCCACCTGGTTACCCTCATCTTCTGGAAGTGAACACTGAGGTCCAGACAGGCTACATCAGTGGGTCCTTGACTCCGAGCCTGGTGCTCTTTTCACCACGCCACCGCTTCCTCTGAAGCAGAAGGTGGACCAGCCACTCCAGGCTGGGTGCCTCTAGGCAAGGCTCCAAGAATTCTTTTTTTTTTGAGATAGAGTCTCATTCTTGTCACCCAGGCTGGAGTGTAGCAGCATGATAGGGGCTCACTGTAACCTCCACCTCCCAGGTTCAAGCAATTCTCCTGCCTAAGCCCCCCAAGTAGCTGGGATTACAGGTACCTGCCATCACACCCTGCTAATTTTTGTATTTTTAGTAGAGACAGGGTTTCAGCATGTTGGCCAGGCTGGTCTCGAACTCCTGACCTTGTGATCTGCCCACCTCGGCCTTCCAAAGTGCTAGGATTACAGGCATGAGCCACTGCGCCTGCAAGGGTTCTGACCATAGTGGTTTGCTATTCCTTGTCTCCTCCTGGCACATACATACACACGCATACACGAGAATACCACATGCGGAGATCGATCCAAGATGGCCAACCACTAACAGCTCAGGATTGTAGCTCCCAGTGAAAGCCCAGAGAACTAGACGACGCCACACTTTTAGACGAATTTTCGTCACTCACCGATCAGCCGATTCCCAGTGGAGGAGCCCCACGGGTCGCCAGCGTGACTCTTGTGGCCGCCGCAGCGGTTTTGCCGGCGTCTCGGCGCAGCAGCTCTTCATGCAGAGCCAACGGGACTGCTTCCCCTACTGACCGGAGTTCGGAGCTCCGGGAAGTCAGAGCCGCTTGTTGCGGACTCAAGAGGGAAGCCAGACCAGAGATTCCCGGGCAGAAGAGCACCATCAGTCTTACCGCTGCTATTTAGGCTGCCACAGTGGGTTGCTCGAATCCCAGCACTGGGAATCAATAAGTCGGACGTCGACTCAGAAAACTAATTAGAAAGGCAGTTCATCTACAATGAAGGGAAAAAAACAGCCTAAGAAGGCCGAGCATACTCAAAATCAGAACCCATCAGCAACGGAACAAGCCCTGATGGAAAAGGACTCATTAGCAACCGAACAAGCCTTGATGGAAAAGGACTCATCAGTAACGGAACAAGCCCTGATGGAAAAGGACTGTGTTCCATTATCTGAAGTAGGCTTTAAAAGGTGGATGATAAGAAACTTCTGGGAGTTAAAGGAACTCGTTCTAACCCAATGTAAAGAAACTAAGAACTTGGAAAAAAGGTTAGATGAAATGTTGAAAAGAATAGACAATATAGAGAGGAATACAAATGAACTTATGGAGTTGAAAAATACAACACGAGAACTTAGTGAAATATGTACAAGCTTAAACAGCCGAATGGATCAAGCAGAAGAAAGGGTATCAGAGGTCGAAGATCAACTTAATGAAACAAAAGGACAAGACAAGAATAGAGAAAAAAGGATAAAAAGGAATGAGCAAAGTCTCCAAGCAATATGGGACTATGTGAAAAGACCTAATATACGCTTGATTGGTGTACCTGAATGTGACGGAGAGAATGAATTCAAGCTGGAAAATACTCTCCAGGACATTATCCAGGAAAATTTTCCTAATTTAGCAAAGCAGGACACTATTCAACCCCAGGCAATACAGAGAACACCACAAAGATATTCCTCAAGAAGACCAACCCCAAGGCACATAATCGTTAGATTCACCAAGATCGAAACGAAGGAGAAAATATTAAGGGCAGCCAGAGAGAAAAATCGAGTTACCCATAAAGGTAAGCCTATTAGGCTTACAGCAGATCTCTCAACGGAAACCCTACAAGCTAGAAGAGAGTGGGGGCCAATATTCAATATACTTAATCAACAGAACTTTCAGCCCAGAATTTCATATCCTGCCAATTTAAGCTTTACATTTGAAGGAAAAATAAAATTTTTTAGGAACAAGCAAGTACTCAGAGATTTTATTACCACCAGGCCTGCTTTACAAGAACTTCTAAAAGAAGCATTATACACAGAAAGGAACAACCAGTATGACCCTTTCTAAAAATACCCCAAAAAGTAAAGAGCATTAACATAAAGAAGAATTTTTATCAATGAAAGGACAAAATAGCCAGTTAATATCAAACGGCAGCAACCCTAAATTTAAATCGACCAAATCTCCCAATCAAAAGATACAGACAAAATCTAACGGTATATCCAAAGATATACATAGACTCAAAATAAAGGGTTGGAAAAAAAAAAAAAACGTACCAACCAAATGGAGAGCAAAAATAAATAAATAAAAAGCAGGAGTTGCAATTTTCACATTTGACAAAATAGATTTCAAAGCTACAAGGATACAAGGATAAAAGGATTAAAGTAATAATAAGAGATCTTAACACCCAGATACATAAGACCCATAATGAGATTTAGATTCAACGAGACAGAAAATTGATAACTATATCCGGGATTGGAACTAAGATCCACTCAATAGGGCTCTCCATTTTAAACACACAAAATATACATTATCCACAAAATCTAACGATATATCTAAAGATATACAAAGACTCAAAACAAGGGGATGGAAAAAAGCTCACCAACAAAATGGAGAGCAAAAATAAATAAATAAAAAGCAGGAGTTGCAATTCTCACACTTAATAAAATAGATTTCAAAGCTACAAGGATGCAAGGGTAAAAGGATTAATACAACAATAAGAGATCTTAACACCCAGATACATAAGACACATAATGAGATTTAGATTCAACGAGACAACAAATTGATAAGATATCCAGGACTTGAACTCAGAGCCAGAACAAATAAACACAATAGAGGTCTCCATTTTAAACACATAAAATATGAAAAAAAAAAAAAGAGAATACCACATGCATGTGTGAGCATGTGTGGACACACACACGTGCTCACACATACATATGCTTCCCACCAAATGCATGTGATACTATGAGATGTCTCCCAGCTGCACAGCTCTTCCCCCCGCTACTGTAAAACATACTCCCTCACTCTGGGACTAGGTATCCCCATCTGTCAAGTGGGCTTGGATCAGATGACCCTAAGGCTACCTTTAGTCTTCCCAGGGAACCGTGAGATTCCCCAGCCCTCAAACGTTGGGCCAACACTCACCAAACACGTATATACGCCAGGCAATGAGTGTAGAGCAGTGACCAAGACAGACCCAGTCCCCATCCCACAGAGATCCACACTGCCCTCCCCACGCACACCTGGGAGCAGAAGCCCCCACTGCCCTCCGATGTGGATCTGATCCCTAGCTGGCTAAGCCCAGATACCGGGTGCCGACACTCAGCAAGGCCTCACCCTGCCTTCCCTCCCTCTCCCCTCTCAGGTCCACATCCAGAGGCTAGAGCTGGCGTTGCTCTGCTTCACCGTCCTAGAGCTCTTCCTGCCAGTGCCCACGGCTGTCACAGCCTGGAGAGGGGACCACCTGTCTGCAAAGGTAAGGCCCTTCCTGGGAAGACAAGCCCTCAAAAAATGGGGGCACGAGGCAGCAGAGGGCCGAGAAAGGAAAGACATGTGGGGGTTACAAGAGGAGTGTGTTTCCTTCATTCCTCACGTTGCTGAGGATTCCCTGAGTGGCAGCCCACGGTCCAGGACGGGGGCCAAGGCATGGGGGCAAGAGAGGAGGCCAATCCAAGGAGAAAAGGGTGAGGCTGCCAGAAGGGAAACTCCGTGGGTGCCCAGAACAACAGGCGACTGTGCTGCCAGCTCTGAAGGCCCCGGGAAAATTGCATCAGGGAGGCCGTGGTGACTGGGCAGGATTCTGCCCCGCAGGCACAGATGGAAGCGGGACTTTCATTCAGCAGAGCAAGAGCACAAGCACTGGCTTGGAGACAGGATAGAGAAGGCCTGGGGAAGCTACAGTGTGTGTGGAGTTTGGCTGTGGTAGAAACAAGTGAGAGATGGCGTCATCAAAGATTGGGCATTTCAGACATTCCAGGGATTCTGTTGAGTACTATATCAATGGCTGTCTGGATGGGTGGGTGGCTGGGTGGGTGGGTGGATGGATGGATGGATGGATGGATGGATGATGGATGGATATAGATATGCAGATATATAGATAAATATATCTGTATTTAACTTTATCTTCTCAACAACCTTTATTTTTGAGACGGAGTTTCTCTCTTGTTGCCCAGGCTGGAGTGCAATGGCACATTCTTGGCTCACCACAACCTCCACCTCCTGGGTTCAAGCAATTCTCCCACCTCAGCCTCCAAGTAACTGGGACTACAGGCACGTGCCACCACACCTGGCTAATTTTTGTATTTTTTTAAGTAGAGATGAGGTTTTGCCCTGTTGGTCAGGCTGATCTCAAACTCTTGACCTCAAGTGATCTGCCGGCCTTGGCCTCCCAAAATGCTGAGATTACAGGCATGAGCCACCGGGCCCAGCCCTCAAAAACCCATTGAGGTACTTAAATTCCCATACTACAGACTAGTAAGCTGAGGTTCAGAGAGATCACATCACTTCCTAAGGCAAAGCAGCCAGTAAGAAGATCCAGGACGCAGCCTGAGCTACGTCTAACCCACAGCCTCGCCCTTGTCTACCCTTGGGGATGGCAGAACGGCAGACTGGGCTAGATATATTTTAAAATAGAAGGCAAGTCTCTCCCTACCACAAAGACCCTGAGCAGTTCAGGATAAGGATGTTTTATTTTAAAAATTAAGGAATAAAAAATAAAGAACCTGACCAGAAGTGATTTCCAAGACTCATTTCTTTAAAGAAAAAAAAATCATAGTATAATTTCAACTTTATAACATTGTAAAAAAAAAAAAATGTGTCAGCCGGACACGGTGGCTCATGCCTCTAATCCCAGCACTTTGAGAGTCAGAGGCAGGCAGATTGCCTGAGGTCTGGAGTTCAAGACCAGCTTGATTAATATAGAGAAACCCTGTTTCTACTAAAAATACAAAATTAGCTGGGTGTGGTGGCGCATGCCTGTAATCCCAGCTACTTGGGAGGCTAAGGCAGGAGAATCTCTTGAATCTGGGGGCAGAGGCTGCTTGAGCTGAGGTAGCACCATTACACTCCAGCCTAGGCAAGAAGAGCCAAACTGTATCTCAAAAAACAAAGTGCCAAATCCGCCATAATCCTGCACGTTTGGCACCGATGTTCACGTTAGTGACCTCATCATATACCGAGTGTTCACTTAATGCATATGTAAGTTGATAACCTCTGCGTTTCATTTAACATCAAGCAGAGAAGTTGTCTTAGTTCATGCCTGGCTGCCTGGTAGGAAGTCTTCTCATTAAGACATCAGAGAACCAGATGGGGGCCTTGAGTCACTGAGGCCAACCCCACTTTTAAGGATGGGGAAAACTGAGGCCCCATACCTAGCTTCAGGTATGAGCAATCGTTGTTCCTATTTTGTAGGGCTGAGGGCCCCACAGGGTCATGGGGTGTCCCTTATGCTGTGCTGAGGCGCAGGATCTGAGAAATAAAGAGACAGGACACAGAAGTACAAGGAAAATGCAGCTGGGCTCGGGGGGCCATGCCACATATAAGTGGAGTCAGGTGAGGCCCCAAATGTCCAGAAGCGTCAGTATTTATTGTGTTAGGGGCAGGGCAATGAGTGAAGTCATCTTTAAGGATAGCGATAGGGTCGTGAACAATAAAACAAGGGGTCCACCCCCATTAGGTCACCTAGGCTGGGAGGTGGACAGTGTGCAGCAAGGAGTCCATTCCCATTAGGTCATCAAGACAAGAGCTGTGTGCAGTAAGGGGTCCATCCCCATTAGGTCACTGAGGCATGGAGGTGGGCCATGTGCAGTAAGGGGTCCACCCCCATTAGGTCACCAAGGCATGGAGGTGAGCCATGTGCAATAAGGGGTCCACCCCCATTAGGTCACCAAGGCATGGAGGCGGGCCATGTGCAGTAAGGGGTCCACCCCCATTAGGTCACCAAGGGATGGAGGTGGGCCATGTGCAGTAAGGGGTCCACCCCCATTAGGTCACCAAGGCATGGAGGTGGGCCATGTGCAGTAAGGGGTCCACCCCCATTAGGTCACCAAGGCATGGAGGCGGGCCATGTGCAGTGAAGAGGGTGCAGTGTGCAATACCTCTATCTATCGGCAAGCTACTAAGAAGATTTATAGGATGCTTTAAGTCACATAGCAGTGACACAGCTGTCAGGGTCTACGTCACCTGCTGGCAGCTTCCAATGAGTTCTATAGGAAGATGCTTTTCGAGTGGCACAGTAACAAGAGCTGATAAAGTTCACAGTCACCAAGGTGCAATTACCCAGAGGAGTGTTGAGCCCTTGGATGCTCGAGGGATTGCCTGTCTGAGGGCAGCCCTCCACAAGAACTGGTGCAAGGTCCTATAACTCCTTTATCAGGAGGAGTGGCTCTTGCCCCAAGCCTGCCATACAGAGGGTGTCTTTACCATACTGAACACTGCCGCCTGGGTCATGGATTCTTGTCCTGGTATAACTGTTTTTCCCCTCAAATCATGCTCTGCACTGGGTCTGCTCCAGACATTCCTCCGAATATAAGCTGCTTTTCCTTAATTCATGCTCTGTACCGTGTCTACTCTGGGCATTCCTCCGATTATGAACTAAGATATAGTCATATATATGGAAATAACTGAGTGGTAAGATATTCTTTAGGCACTCATTCTAAGAACTAATATATGATTATATAGAGAGGGTCATATAAAAGGAAACAACTGAGTAGTAACACTATAAACTGAGATATTCTTCAGATCTTAATTGTGCCAGGATTCTGCTTAGCTCTCCTTCCTCAGTGCCTATATGGGGGGTTGCCCACACTGTTTATTGACCTTTGCTGTGTTCCAGGCACTGTGCTAGTGCTGCAGGTAGCTGAATTCATTTTCTATTGCTATTGTAAGAAATTATCACAGATTTGGTGGCTTAAAATGACACCTGTATTAGTCTATAGTTCTGGAGGTCGGGCTCAAATCTCAAGGGCTCAAATCAAGCTGTGTCGCCAGGACGGCCTCCCTTCAGGGGGCATTGAAAAGCATCTCTTTCCTTGCCTTTCCCAGCTTCTAGAGGCTGCCTGCATTCCTTGGCTTGTGGACCCTTCTTCCACCTTCAAAGCCAGCATCACAACACCTTCCAATAACCCAGTCTCCCTCTTCTACCTTTAAAGGCGCTTGTCATCATACTGGGCCAGACAGATAATCCGGGAGAATCTCCCCATCTCAAGGCTGATTGGAAATCTTAGTTCCACCTTCAACCTTTATTCCTCTCTGCCATGTGACCAGAGATTAGTACATGGAAGTCTTTTGGGGGCCTGGCTCCTGCCTAGTGCACTAGCTGAGAACTCTTTGAACCTCACAGCCATTCCGGGAGGCAGGTTCTGCTTTTCCGTTTAAAGAGGAAAAAATGAGGCCTAGAAGAGTTAAGTGACTTATGGTCTCACGGCCAGTAAGCAGCTGTGCTAGGTCTCCCAATGGGCCCTGTGCCCTCCCATCAGAAAGGACGATGCTAGGGATGGGCTCTGCAGCACTGAGTTGATGCCACCCTCATCATAATCAGGAATGGAGGTGTGGTAGCAATCACTGGGGGACACTGTTGGCATTAGACCTGCCCCTAGAGTATCTTGAAGGGGCAGGTCTAATGCCAACAGTGCCAATCCTGGCTAGAAGGGTCTTGGGGCATTACCTGGCCCAAACCCCTCCCCCCCAGGAAACCCAACAGGGTGAGTGACTTGCACCTGGTCACCAGGACACTGGTAGCAGGATGGGAACCAGGACCCCATCCACTGAGTCCCATGTGGGCCTCCCCCTACTCTCTTTCCAAGAACAGGGAGAGTGGAGTCACACGCTGGTCTATAGAAATCACTTCATCTCTCAAGCCTCACTTCAGTTTCCCCATAGTCACGGAGAACTTGAGACTTCAGAAGTGAGCTAGTAGGGAAGTGTTTCAGAAACAGCCAGTCGCTCCACAGATGTGAGCAGCAGGGGCGGTGGGTTTTCTTTTGCAGAACGATGATGATGCATGCCTTGTTCCGAACCCACCACTGCAACTCAAAGGTCTGCCGGTGGAGCCCCCACCGTCCTACGAGAGTGTGGTTCAGGGTCACGCCGCCCAACACAAGCAACATCAGAGGTAAAGAGGTTTGGCCCGGCTCCCCAGACCTTCGGAACCCACCGTGGCCCCTTCTCCCTGGCATGGATAGGAACCAGTTCCCGAGGGAGCTGTGACCAGAAAGGGGCTGACAGTGCTGTACCCAGAACTGCCTGGCCTGGGAGTGGTAGCCGAGGCAACGATGGTCCTGTCCCCTCAGGCACTAGAGGAACTCCCAGGGCCCCCTGGGAACATCTCAGCACCTGACTTGGTTGACTGGAGCTGCCTTGGCTGAACCTGGGTGCAACCAGGACCCACCACCCTCCAGAGCAAACTCCTGGGCCAGCAGCCCCCAGGTGGCCCCATGCCTTCTGCCCTCCCTTGCCTGCCTTCTCTGATCCACGGTGGATGCACAGGAGGATATAAAGGGGAGCATGGAAGGAAAGTCTCCAGAGCGACACAGCCAGAGCCTCCCTTGCCTCAACCTACTAAAAGGTCTCTGGGGGAGCCTGTGTGTCTGAATCCTTGGATTTGGCAGGGGGTGGGGAAGCAGCTGGGGAGCTGAGTCCCATAGAAACTGTGTACAGTTCTTCCCTCTGAACCAGACCCTCTGAAGGAATCTGTTTGCCTCCCTGGGCCTCAGTTTCTCCATCTGTAAAGCGGGAGTGGGAGGATGACATGATCCAGAAGTCTCCCAGCTGGAAAGCTCTGAGATCAGGAGTAGAATTCAAGGTTCTAGTTGTGACATCGAGGTTGCCAGTGAAACTTTAGCGTTGAAATTCCAAACCTACTTGTGCTGAGTAAATAATGTAAGAGAGAGGGACCTGCCTTCCTCATTTTGCAAATTTCAGTCATCTGAGGATGGAGTCTTGCTCTTTTGTGGGCTGCAGTGTATTCTACTTCCACACTGATTCCTTTTTCTATATTATTTTAAAGGGGCACTTTGTAGCAGCAAGAAATGGGAAATCAGTATCTTTCCGCAAATAGAAGTGAACCCCCAAAATAACAAACACGTGCAATAAAACGCGACTCCGCCCTCCAACCCGTTGCCTCACTCACTGCTTCCCTTCCTCCTGCTAGCTCTTCCCCAGCCACCGTGGCTTCCTTGAGGTTCCATGGATGCCCCCAGGGATAGCCCTGCCTCTGAGTCATCACCTTGCCTTCCCTCCACCTGGACTCTCTTCCCCTAGGTATTCGAAGAGCTCACTCTTTGAATCTTTACTGGGCCACTGACTCCGACCCAAGTAAATGTCATTTAATCTCAGTGTCATTTAATCCTCCCATCAATCAATCTGTGACCTAGCTGCTGTTACCATCTCCATTTCATGCAGGCTCAGAGAAGTTAATCAAGTTGCCCAAGGCACATGGATATTCAATGACGGAGCCAGGACCTGGATCCAGACTGCAAATTGAAGAGCCACCGCCTGACAATGCTCAAACATCATTGGGGCACATGCCCTGCTCTCCCGAAGTTGCGCTTTCACTGGGAAGATGAGATTTGAACACACAAAAGGCTAGCTTGTGGTCTACACAGCAAAGTCAGCCCTCACAGCTGCTGGGAACCCTGTCCTCTTGGACAAGCCATTTCTTACACAGTTGAGAGCTCAACACATGTGGTAACCCAGGTTGTTTCATTTTGCTTTTTTGAGACAGGGTCTTGCTCTATTTCCCCGGCTGGAGTGCAATGGCATGATCTGGGTTCACTGCAACCTCTGCCTCCCAGGTTCAAGCAATTCTCCTGTCTCAGCCTCCCGACCAGCTGGGACTACAGGCACACGCCACCACACCCGGCTAATTTTTATATTTTTAGTAGATATAGGGTTTCACCATATCGGTGAGGCTGATCTCAAACTCCTGACCTCAGGTGGTCTACCCGCCTCGGCCTCCCAAAGTGCTGGGATTACAGGCCTGAGCCACTGCTCCCAGCCCAGGGTTTTAAGCTGTCTGAGATAGCAGTCTGCACTCCACTGTCTTATAAAATCCCTGTGTGGAGGGGCTGCCAGTATCATTTGCCCTTGCCCTGAATGTCCCCGGGGTTTGAGGTTCTTTGCATTCTCCTGCTTTTCCAGCTCCTTCGAGGCCTTTCTGGCTGTGGTCACTAGCTCAGCTGTAGCACCTCTTCTCTTCACTGGCTTCTTCTAATCCAGCTGGCTTTAAAATAGATTGTAAAGTCTGAGTCATTAGGTTCTGAGAGTGGCAGAGAGAGCCATGCAAAGGTTTAGGACAACCCCAATCTCTCAAAAGATGAAAGGGACTGATGGAGAAAACCTTAGCTGGGATGTCTGAAGACCTGGGTGCCCACGCTAGCTCTGCCAGTCGCTTACTGTGCGGCTTTTAGTCCCTTCCCCTCACTCGGTCCCAGTGTCTCCATTTGTAAAACACGCAGTTGTGCTAGACTGGTGGTTTGCATCGATAAAGGAAGAAAGGGCTTCTGGTTCGTTTTTCTGAGTCAGAGTCTCTCTCCGTCACCCAGGCTGGAGTACAGTGGGGTGATGTTGGCACACTGCAACCTCTGCCTCCCAGGTTCAAGCAATTCTCCTGCCTCAGCCTTCCGAGTAGCTGGGATTACAGGCACCTGCCACCATGCCCGGCTAATTTTTGTATTTTTAGTAGAGACAGGGTTTCACCATGTTGGTCAGGGTGGTTTCGAACTCCTGACCTCGTGATCTGCCCACCTTGGCCTGCCTACCTATCCCGAGTAGCCGGGATTACAGGTGTGAGCCGCCGTGCCCGGCCTAGACTTATATATTTTTTAAAGTCAGTAAATGGAAGACTTGCCAATATTCCCTTTGAAAGGCCACTGCCTCCGCAGGTGCGTGGTGGAAGCCCAGCTGGTGGAAGCTGGGACAGAGTTAGTAGGTCCTGGGGGAGCATGGCCAGAGCCCAGTCCCTGAGGCTCATCAATACCGAGACCTCTAGAATGACTGGTGTCTTCTACACGGTAGGCAGAATTTCTAACATCAGGCTAGAAACAGAGCAGTCTTTAGCTATAGTTGGTGCTGTGGTTAAATTTTAGTCTGTATTTTGATTGATTTTTTTTCTCAATTTTTTGAGACAGTGTTTTGCTCTGTCACCCAGGCTGGAGTGCAGTGGCACAGTCATATGCCGCTGCCCCCTTGAACTCCTGGGACCAAGCAGTCCTCCCGTCTCAGCCTCCTGAGTACCTGGGACTACAGGTCTGTGTCACCACAGCCAGCTAATTGTGTTTACTCTTAGCAGAGCTCTCGACACATTGCCCAGGCTGGTCCTTCAAACTCCTGGTCTCAAGCAATCCTCTTGCCTCGGCCTCCCAAAGCGCTGAAATTACAAGTGTGAGCCGCCACACACAGCTGATTTTGAAATGGACTCAGCCCTAAACTAAGTCTAAGACCACTTTCACTCATTATGAAAACTCTCAAACATGCGGAAGAGTTAATAGCACAATTGACACCCTTACAGCTCCACTGAGATTAGAGTGTTACCATTTTGCATATTTGCTTTCCCTGCTTCTCCACATGTATCTGTCTCTTTACATATGTGTGTGTGTGCACATATAGCAGGTATATGGTATGCATGGCTATACATATACATTTGTATATACTTCTTCCTTGAATCGTCTGAAAGTTGCAGACATCATGACCTTCCCTCTCTAAATTCTTCTACCTGCACTATGCCCTAAGAATAAGTACACACTCCTATGTAATCATAGTACTAGTATCACACTAGGAAAATTAAGAATAATTCTATAATCCTACTACCCTGTCCATATTCAAATTTCCCCCCACTGGGCCAAAAATGTCTTTATCGCCATTTTTCTAACCTGGATCTAGCCATGTTTCCCACATTAGATTTGATTGTTCCATCACTTTATTTTCTTTTCATCTAGAAAGGCCCTCTCACCTTTCTCGTGACGTAGACTTTTGAGACCCTTTGTCTTGCAGAATGTTAGTGGTTTCTTCATGGCGTCTTTCCCCGGCTCCCCCACCCTCCCTCTTTCCTGTAACCTGCCAGTCACACCTAGAAGAGCCTCAAAGCTTGGTTCCATGCAGGGTAAGCATAACTGGGGAGAATACTCCAGAGGTGGTACTGCTGCCTTCACCCTGCACCCCCACCCAGGGTACTAGGGGCCAGCTCATCCTTCGATTAGTGGCTGGACCCGAGGAACTGTCACGGTCTCCCCACCGCTAGCATCATTTCTTATTTCCTCCTTCTCCCACAAAGTTTCTTTGCAGAAAATGAACTAGATGGCATCACTTGTCAAATAGGAAAGGGTGGATATGCGTCTTGCTGTAATACCTGAACATATACTGTAGGAAACTTTCACATGTATTAACCCCTAGCTTTATGGTACTGTATTAAAAACAATAACTTGAACTCAATTATTTTTCTTTTTACTTAGCGTCTTTTTTTCGCCTAGGCCATGCAAAATGCAGTCATTGGAAATGTTTCTGGAGGGGTCACACAATTCTGAAGCCCCTCACAATGTACAGGGACGTCATGAGTCTGGATCCAGTTTAGGGGACGCTGGACCCGATGATGGGGTTGTTCCTGGCCAGCTCTAGCACGCCAGGTTTCTAGCATGAGACAAAAGGACATTGTCACGGCCAACATCTGGCCTCAGGATACTCTAGTTTAGAGATGTCAGTTCAATGGCCTTGAGGCAAATAAACCAGAAGGTTCAGGGCCTTGGGTCCCCATAGACAGATCCTTTCATTCCCTAGTGAAAACTCTGCCACAGTATGCCTAAGCCTGGGGAGAGATAGGCTGTGTGCTCCCTGTCTAGGACAGGAGTCGGGGGCAGCAGCTCTCAGGGAGTAGAAAGAGCACCTGGGACTAAGAACTTCCTCAACCACTTACTGCAGAATGCAGGTAAAACAGCTGACTCCCCCAAGCCTCAGTTTTCTCATCTGTAAAATGGGAAGGATAATCCCTCCCTCACAGAGTTATACTGAAGCTCCGAAGAGACTATGGAGATGAAAACCCCACCTCGGTGCTCTCTGTAAGGTCCAGCCCTGCAGGGTCCGGTGAGTCCCTCTCTGCAGGTGTGGAGACGAGAAACTGTGGAAATAAAAGACTCAAGACACAGAGATAGAGAAAGAGCATTTGGGCCCAGGGGTCCACTGCTACCAAATCAGAGACCAGCAGCGGCCCCGAGTGCCTGGACGCTCTGACTTTTATTGAGTTCAAAGCAGGGGGCATGGTAGGTAGGATGAGGTAATGGTGGCCAGTGATAGGGTCAAGTAAATTACATGTCTTGGAGACAAGGGCCCAAGACTTTGAAGAAGCCAAGGCAAGGAGAAAACCTAAGGCGTCAGCACTTTTCACATACTTGTCAAGAAAGAACAAGGTCACTAAGATTTATGTTACTATTACTAATTCTTATCTTCTGAGAAAAAGGGGAACCAGGTGCAGAAGCAGAACTTGAAAGTAGACATGGAACGTGACCGCTGAAGCACAGCATCGCATAGAGACAATTAAGTCCCCGGATGTCTGTGGGTCTCCCTGACAGCCGTCAGGCTTACCACAAGAGCCATCAGGCTTACTCCACTTGGGAGAGTGAAGTTTTCTCCTCACTCCCCTGAGGAAGGAGACGTCTCAGCCATCTTGGACATTTCCTTCCCTAGCTGGCTAAACAGCAGGCGCTTTCAGAGCGCTGACACTGTCACAAAGCCAAGGCGTCCTCCAGCAGCCCTTATGTGGGTGAGACAGACATCTTAGAGCATCTTGCCTTAGGGTCACCTCTTTTCCAATGCCACTTCAGTCCCATACTTCTTAACCTGAGACTTATTAGTAAGATTGAAGATCATATAATTATATAGATGTATATATTTATGATTACATATGAATAGCTATGTGATTATGATTTTATATATATAGGAAGAACTATGTAACTATATCTCTCATTCTTTTCTAGTTCTGTATTTATATGGGAACAGGCTGAGGCTTCAGACCCTTGCCTTGGCTCTTGTGGGGTCTCCCACCCACAGCTCCCCAAATTGTGAGACACTGAGAGGAAACCTCTCAGGGATTACTTCTTTTTCAATCTCTGAGATTTCTTTAAGGAGAAAGTCTTGGTTTGGGACAGCTATATCTTTAACACCAACACTTGTTCTTTTTACCGAGACAGCAAGCCCTGGGTGCAGTGGGCAATGGGACAAAGCCAGATTTCCACAAGACTGCTTTGCTCCCATTGGGTTTACTTTTATGTGTATCTTCCATCTGTGGCAAGCGATACTGAATTTCTGTTTATGGAAGTGGTATCAAGGGCTTTTATAATCCACATACATAAGTTAAAGCAGTGATTGTGGATATGGGGTTTTCTGAAGCACTTATCACTGCTTCAGAAATAAATGTTCTAATATTAATTGTAATGGACTTTTGAGACCAGACATCTGGCAGAATTTTGCAACAAGTCTTGCATAAGTCTGCCCATACTAAAGATCATCGATTTTAAAAAGAGGCCATTTAAGGAAACGTATTAAACAAATAATGACACAAAACACAAATGTTTAAGAGTCATGAATTAGGCCAGATGCAGTGGCTCACGCCTCATCCCAGCACTTTGGGAGGCCAAGGCAGGTGGATTGCCTGAGGTTAGGAGTTCCCGATCAGCCTGGCCAACGTGATGAAGCCCTGTCTCTAGTAAAAATACAAAATAATTAGCTGGGCGCGGTAATGGTTGCCTGTAATCCCAGCTACTCAGGAGAACCGATTTAACCCAGGAGGCGGAGGTGGCAGTGAGCTGAGATCTTGATATTGTACTCCAGCCTGGGCAACAAGAGCGAAACTCCATCTCAATTTAAAAAAAAAAAGAAAGCAAAAAAAAGACTCATGAAGTTAGAGCTTTGAAGGACTGAAGTCTGGAAAACAAGAAAAGGAGACCTCTCCACTCTGTTTGCAGAGGGGAAGTGCAAGGGTTTGCACTCTGCAGTTGAGATTAAAAGTTTACTGTGACCCTTGAACCTAGAATTCTACATCCTAATCTCACTGAACTCCAGGGTTGGAAGAATCTTTGTGGATCATCTAGCCTAGCGCATCCTGAGACAGATGGAGAAACTGAGCCCAGATGGGGCTTACTGAAGTTACCCAGCAGACCTCTGATGGAGATGGGGCTAGGACCCAGGTCTTGAGCTATACTGCACTGCCCATGGCATTCTTGCCCAGCCTGCCCCACCTGCTTTCCTAGGAGCCTGAGAGCAGGAACAAGGACAACTCCTATCTGCATCTAGCACCCTGAGTTCCTGGCTCCCAAATGTATCATCTCCCCTAGGCTATGAGATAATTCTGCAAACTCTAACCCCAACCCCACCCCGGAAGCCTTAAAGAAACCTCAAAGCCACACGCCCTCTTCCTTCTGTCTCCATGACCTTAAGGCAGGTCACAGAGGCAGGATGGCATTGCACTTGTTTATTCCTTCATTCATTCCCTTCATTCCCTACGATGCTACGTCTAGGGGCAAACCACCATGAGCAAACCCCAGCCTCTCAGAGCTCAGAATCCGGTGGGGGAGACACGCACTAATCCAACGATCACAACTGTGAACATATAACTACCATAAATGGGAACCGAGAGGCATTATGAAAGAATGTGATGGTGACCTAACCTAGAATACGGGGTATGGCCAGAAGGAGACGCTGTGAGACGAGGCCTGCAGGTGTCTAAGCTGTCCTGGCCCTCCTATTTCTTCTGCCTAGAGACTTAGCTCTTCCCAGGCCAAAACCCTTCGCCCACCCCGCACCACCCCGATGGCTGTGGTCACTTCCTCCCCATCTCCCCACTTCCTTCCAAACGGTCCTATTGCCTTGCATCCGTTCGTAGCAGATCGTCCCCTCCATGTGTCAGGTCCCTGCCAGGTGCTGGACACTCTTACCAGTTAGGGTTCCCCCAGAGAAACAGAATCGGTGGGAGATATAAACTAAGATTCATTGCAAGGAATTGGCTTATACGATTGGGGGGCTTCAGGAGCAAGAGTACAATCAGCCAAGCTGCTGCCCATGGGGGAATGACTTCACCAGGGAAACCTCAGTTCTATTCTGTAAGATTTTCAACAGAATCAGGCCCACCCAGATTATCTAGGAAAATCTCCCTTACTGTCAATGGATTATAGATTCAATCACACCTACAAGATACTTTCCAGCTTTTGTTTTTTTTTTTGTTTGTTTTTTTTTTTGAGACGGAGTCTTGCTATGTCCCCCAAACTGGAGTGCAATGGCGAGATCTCAGCTCACTGCAATCTCTGCCTGCCGGGTTCAAGCAATTCTCCTGCCTCAGCCTCCTGAGTAGCTGAAATTATAGGCGCTCACCATCACACCTGGCTAATTTTTTGTATTTTTAGTACAGACAGGGTTTCACCATGTTGGTCAGGCTGGTCTTGAACCCCTAACCTTGTGATCTACCTGCCTTAGCCTCCCAAAGTTCTGGGATTACAGGTGTGAGCCATTGTACCCGGCCTACTTTCACAGGTATTAACACCTAGATTAATGCTTGATTGAATCACCGGGGACTGCAGCCGAGACAAACTGACACATCCAAAGATCATCACAGACACACAGAGGCAAGAGAAGTTGGAGAACAGGGTGGACAGGACTGCCAATCACAGAATTATCTTGGGCATGCTGGAGGCTGGTGATTGTCAAACATCCCCACGTTAAATTTTCTTCCACTCCAAAAATTACTCCATGCTAGACACCATTCTAAACGCTTTCGCAAGAAGTCCTCACAAAAAGCAGTTTGTGGATTAGGAGACTCAGGCACAGAGCGGTTAAGTGATTTCCTGAAAGTCACATAGCAAGAAAATGGTAGACCCAGGAATCACACTCCGCTGGATGCCAGAGCCTGAACTGGTGCCTCATGACTGCTCTGCAGTGCTGCCTCCATTTGTCAGCTTAGTTGTGCCAGAAGAGGCTGAGCAGTTTGTCAGCACCTCTTCATCCTCAGGGATCTTGTTTTGTTTTGTTTTGTTTTGTTTGTGAAACAGTCTTGCTCTGTTGCTCAGGCTGGAGGGCAGTGGTATGATCTCAGCTCACTACAACCTCCGCTTCCCAGGTTCAAGCAACTCTCCTGCCTCAGCCTCCCAAGTAGCTGGGATTACAGGCACACACCACCATGCCCAGCTAATTTTTGTATTTTTAGTAGAAACGGGGTTTCACCATGCTGGCCAGGCTAGTCTTGAACTCCTGACCTCAAGTGATCCACCCACCTCAGCTTCCCAAAGTGCTGGGATTACAGGCGTGAGCCACTGCGCCCAGCCATCCTCAGTGATCTTCTGAGGAGAGGGCTGTGATTGTCTCTATTTTATAGGCAAAGATATGGAGGCCTAGAGAGGCTGCTTAATGCTGCTTCTCATGGTGGCAGAAACAGGACTCAAGCCTTCAGCTGA